GACTGCGCTTGCTCCATAAATTTCACACACTCCTGGATGAATGGTCCTTATCCAGCGCTCCTCAGGGGTGGAGCATGTGGGTGGGGCACCATGTGTTGTTATTTCAAATGGAAACTCCCCATTCTCTCATCTTCCTTTTAGAGTTAAAGATGTCCAAAGAATTCAACGTGTTTAACAGTCGACTTCTTAATGGTATGTTCTGCTGATGTTTCTCAAGAGGTTGGGCATCAACTGTTCCCTTGTCACAAGACGTGCACTAAAATCATGGGTGGGGTCTCTCCCTTTGAGGCGCCCATGTACAGCAGTTCTTTTCTGCCCCCTGTTGTTTGCAGTGTCCAAGGAGCTGGCTGGCAGGAAATGTCTGGGAGTGAGAACAATGCAATGGGGGCAAAGCACAATGTGCTGCCACAATTTCCTCTTCCACATTAACACAAGTAGAGCTTGGGCCCGACAAATACATTCCTTTCCTATTTAACTTTGCAACCAGCTAACCACACACAAACCGAGACAGGCTCCTCGTGGCAGCAGGCGGCTTTCTGCTCTAGACAGCAGTCAGAGCCCTGCATTGCTCTGGGAAGGCTGAACCTTTTCACTCTCAGCTTTGCTCTGCCCCTTTGAGCTGTCCAGCCACATTCCACGCCCGGGGGTAGTAATAGCAGCTGCACCGCACATCTTGGGGCCACTGGCAGCTCAGTGTAACATAGAGCAGCCCGAAGGCAGCTCTACATTGTACCAAGGACACAGCTGATGTCCAGATAAATGAATCCCGGTGTTGACCACAGTGCACCTGTAGCGGAGGATCACAGCTAGCATGAGGTAATGGACATAAGAAGTCTAGGGTAATAACAGGGAGGAAATCACATTTTACAGCAGCAGGGATGTCCCCAAAGTTATGGGTTTCCCCTGCTGATAAATTTTACTCTGCTATCAAAAGTCTCATGTCTACAGTTTCCCAGGGTCTTGCTGAAGCCCAGCTGGATCGAGATACTATAAGAAGAGATGCCCAGAGAAATCTGTCACTTCAGCAGGACTATATAGGTGAGAGATAAAGGAAATGTTTCTAGTCCTTGTCGGTCTCCAAGGATCTTTTCTGGTCCTTACACCTCAAGGGAGGAGAGAGTGGGGCCCACGGGGTCAGGTGCAGGGCTGGTGAAGTTGATGTAGCTTCTTGGACTTCAGTGGAGCTGATCAGACATACATCAGCTGGGGATCTGACCCCAGCTCAGACAGGACTCTAGATTATTGTGGGGTGTGGGAGAAACATAGGAGGTGGAAGCAGCTCTTAAAAGTTGTTGGATAACATTGTCCTGCTCCTAGGATCACTGAACATCCAATGAAATTTTGTTGTGATGAGGTCACGTTTCTACCAGTGTCTCATTGGCTGAGAGTTTTATCCTGCTGGGGAAGCCATGGGCATGAGTAGAATTGGTCTGTACAGGGAGTAGGCACATGCCTGGGGCCCCCATAAAGACAATTCCTGCTTGGATGAATAGGAACTGAGACCCATCCTCTCCAGGAAATTCCCTTGACCATCTGAAGAAACGAAGCAGGAATATGGGCGGGGGGCAGCCCTCCCAGAAGAGTGTGGTGGTATGTCCCCAAACACCCAACTAATGGCCTCTGACAACCTACCTACAGTTGGTATTATTGCACAGGGATAGGGCCAATAGGAGCCCTCATGCTGAGGTGTCCCTGATTGCCCCTGGATGCCTGATGCCCCTGGATTGTCTTAATGCAGTCCTGGGTCTGACCTGTTTTTTCCACCACAGTTCCCCTGAGTGGGTCATTGACTGGATCTCTCTTAATAAAGACTGGTGTTAATTTGCTAATTTGCCCCTGGGACTCTAATGAGCCTGAACCCATCTGGACTGCATGGTTGTCTTTGTGCAGCATGTCCTGGGCACTCAGAACTTCACAATAACAGTGGGTTAGTACTCAAATCCTGCTACTCCAAAGGGGGTCTAAGCAACAGCTGAGTAGAGGTTGGCTGCTGTTGTGCCTAAGGCATGGGCTGGAACTCACAAGATCTGACTTCAGTGCCCAGTTTTGCCGCAGACTCCATGTGTGACCTTGAAAGAGTCACTTCATTTCTCTGTGCTTCAATTCCACTATCTTTGAAATGGGTAACATTGCTTGTCTATTTGTATTGTAACCGTCTCTCACTCTGTGTCTATGCAGTGCCAGAGCAAGGGTACCCAATCTGCGTTTGTACAGCACCTGGCACAAAGGGGCCCTAAGCTCTGGTGGGGCTTGTAGGTGGCACTGTGATATAAATAAGTAATAGCTATAAGTTTAACCTTTCTGGTATCAGGCCCATCCCGTGCAAACATGAGCTGGAGTCTGATCTTGGTTCTGCTGGTGTCAGTGCCGTGACTATGGATTTAGACTTATGTAGAAAAGCCCTGTGATGCAGAAGTGGAGCTTGGGCTATGTCATTGTGAGCCTACTGAGGTAAAAATTCCCTCACTGAATACAACAGTTGGCTTGAAGGAAAATCAATGAGCCCAGGATAGCACAGGTGCTTAGATACTATAATAGTGGACTCCAGTATCAGAGCATAGATAGGTCGAAGGCTGTGAATGGGGACAGAGAGTGTGTTTGCGGATGAATGGACACATAGAAATTTCCAGCTGCTGTGAAGGAAGGTCTGAGCCAGGCCAGAAATATCAACCTGTTGATTCCAGTTGCATTTTTCTACCCCCTGCCTGCCCCGACAGAGATAAAGTCGAAGGAGCTGGATGAGGTGAAAAGGAACCATGATAGACTCCAGGAGGTCTTGAGCAGGGTGCAGGACGAGTTACGGAACCTCACAGGTAAAGAGGCACCGGGCAGGGCTGTGACCCCTGTGACAGCATTAACCTCAAATGCCCAGAGTCCGTGAAAGGCAACAGGGAACAACACATTTGTCTCTCCTGTTCCCAATAGTCCTATAGCCTGTGTAGCTCCCACTGCACTGAAACTGACCACATCTCTCCAGCTGGGAGTCCCAAGTTGCTGTAGAGCCAGAACAGATGTCTCCTTTGCCACCCTCCTGTCTGGCCCCAATTCTCTCATTGGTTCTATGCCTTGGGCACCAGAGTTGGTGTAGAGCCAGCGAGAGATTCGGGGACCCATAGGCCATTCCCTGATACCTGCCCTTCACCCAATGGAAACAGACACAGCTGATAATCTTGGCCCTAGTTGGCTAAATACATAATGAAGCCTAACATGAGATGGATTCAATACTGTATGGCAGAAGCCACCAGATGGTGCTGTTGTACATGAGCTTGCAAGTTCTCTTTCCAAGCATGTCAGCGGTATTCAGTCTTTGAAGACATGCTATGTCGTTATTTGCAGGCTGTGATATTTTTGGGGGGGAGCTGTTGCAACTAGCAAGGGAGTTTGCTCCCTGCCTGACACACTCTAACTAGAGTCAGTTCTTGGGGCACAGTTGTACCCAGGAAACTGGGCATCAGTGTCTGGGCTGAGATCACAGACTGGCCTGCTTTTTGTTTATGGGCACCCCGTTTTCAGGACTAGTGCACAGAGCGAAAATCAACAAGTTATACTAGGAAAATATTAACTCACTGATTTATTTTTCAATGGG